CACACACGGCACCTAGGTATGCGAGTTTAATTGTTGACTTGTCCAGCGTGTGGTCAAGCACTATTTATTCACTGGCAGTGAGCATGCAGCGAGCATGAGAAATATTAGCTTCTCTTGCTATAGTCACATCGCATAAGCTGCTTTTACAGAGAGGATGTTAAGCTTTGAGTTAAGCCGTGCATAGTGCTGATAAGAACTATGCATGGCTTAACCTTGCTGACAAGCCGAAATAAGCTTGGTCACGACAAATTAATCATACTTCATTCTAAATAAGAATAATCAAAACAATTAAAGGTAATTGCTACAAATAAGCACTGATTGAATTGAATTTGCTTTATTTCTTCTGTTTATAACAGAAAAGAAGCAGAAGCTTAAGGCCATGTGGTCTGACAAAGGCTTCTGCTCCTACGACACTTCGGCTCATGGATACCAATTAATGGATACTACTTAATGGTACTACTCATGGATACCAATTAAGCCACCAGATGAAACCAGGGTAATCTTAGAGGAAGCTTAGTTAAGCCAGTACATATTGCAGTCTAATTTAGTTTGGACAAGCCAATTTAATGCTAGTGAGTACCAATGTATACTGATAGATACTTGTCAAGTTGGATTAGGCAAGATTAGTGAAGATTGTGTCGGATCACGCTAATACAGTTAAAGTTAAGATGGCATAGCCATGAGGTAGATTATACCCAACTAGGCTGTTTTTTTTATTAAGCAGGACTAAATAAATCCGGGTTAAGCTAATCCTGAACATCTCAATGTTAGGTGAATTGAGAATGACTAGCTGTTTGGGTGACAGTATATGGCTATATTAGCTAATCCTATTAAACTCGATTAGCTTGATTAAAGTAATCTGAATCCTGAACCATCCAACTTCGAGTAAGTTACAGTTGAGGTCTCTTATCAGTTAGATAACAGAGTACGGCCACAATAAGGCAATGTGAATTATGTATGATTAAGCTAATACACATAGCTAACTATAAGTGAGTGAATTTAGAGTGAGTTGAGATTGTCTGGCCTGCTGATGCTGGCCCATGGTCAGGTTAAACCCATCTGGATTCAACTGGACTAAGCTCATACAAATTAAGCTTATCTTGAACAAGTATCTTATCAGTAAGTTGAAATTTCCCAGCCATTCAGATGACTGAGTATGACCACAATAAGACAGAAGAGATTACGCCTGATTAACCTAGCCCGAATTGAGCTAATTCGGATTGACATATTCCTGAACCGGCCATTCTGAGTAAATTGTTTGTCTAGTCAGTTGCACGATCAAGTACCACCACAAAACCTTGTTGATTAAGGCAAATTAAGCTAATCTGCATTAAGCAAATCACAACCAAGCAAATTGGGAGTGAGATTGTCTTGCCTGTTGGATGCCTGAGCATGGACCCGTTAATGCAGCCCAGATTAAAGTAGATTAAAGGGCCTCTAAATTGCCCCGAGGTCAAAATTTTGTTGTGGCATTCCAGTTGTATACGAGTATACGAGGAACGCTGGCAGGGTTGCACGCGTTTGCTCAGTTCGCTCTTTTCTTTGCTAGGCGTCGTTCGTCCGCTCGCCTGTCCACTTCTCCGAGAGGCCTTCCTCTGCGTCTGAAGTGGAGACGCGAAAAGTGCGCGCATCTGCTAGCAGAAAACAGGCTCTCATTCGCTCATTAACCGAGTCTGTTGCTTGCGACGCCACCTAATTTTACAGGTGACGTCATGACGGCTGTTGTCAATAAAGGAAAGGCACGGAGAGCATCACGCGAGCGTCTGTTGATATATTAGGGGCCCTTTAACCTCATCTAAAGTAGGTTAATTCTGAAGAAATCTATTTTGAGTAAGTCGAAACTGCCTCGCTCTGTTGGATTACTGAGTGTAATCCCAATAAGTCTATGTGGATTAAGCCAGATTAAGGTAATCTACGTTCTGCTAATCTTGAGCAAATGGATTTGAAGTGAGTAAGATTGCCTAGCCTGTTGGATGCCGCAGCATGGTCACGTTAAAGCCTTCCAAATTAATCTAATCTGAATTAAGTCAAGCTAAACCAATTTATGTTATTACTAGTCATTTATGTTAGTCATACTTTCTTACAGTGCCATGTTAGAGGTAGTAGTCAACAAAATAAAAAAATCTACCATTAAAGCCACATGACTTGGTCATGTGTGTCACGGTGCACATGACATGATTTTCAACTTTATGCTGTGTCAGTTTTGGTTGACACCGAATTAATAATGTGCCTATAAAAGGTCTATGACCAGGTGATGTATGTCATGGCCTACATGACATGCATGACAAGACTCTCGTGTTATGATCAGATATTTATGATGTTCATAATCTCGTAATTTGTCATGTAGGTTTCAGCATTCAACAAGTTAATAAAACTACCATTAAGACTTCGTGGCCGAGTCACATATGTCATGATGTACATGAAATGCATGACATCTTCTCGGTGTTATGACCATTCATTTTTTCATCTTACGCTGTTATGGTGCTCTATCAATTTTGGTATACATTAAGTTCATAAAAAGGCCGTTAGAACATTATGACTATTATCTGTGTCATGGAACACATGACATGCATAACATAATTTTCATGTTATGACCAGTCATTCATGTTAGCTATACATTCCAATTATGCCATCAGTTTTGGTACACATCATCTTAATAAAGTGGCCTCAAGAGCTCCATGATCAGATCATATATGTCATGGCCTATGTGACATAAACAACAAAGTTTTCGTGTTATTACCAAATAAATCTACCAGCTGAACTTCTTAATTGGATTTCTCAATTTCTGACTAACCGCTCTCAGTTTGTTTTCGTTAACGTCAAATCTAACTCGCTTCCTGTTAGGTCTGGAGTGCCACAGTGATCTGTCCTTGGCCCGCTTTTGTTCCTAATCTACATTAACGACTTACCCAACAATTTATCTTGCAACCTTCGTATGTTTGCAGATGATTGTGTCATCTACCGCAAAATAACCAACACTTTTGATCAAGCAGCACTACAGAATGACCTTAATGAAGTATTAAACTGGTGTGACCATTGGCTTATGACCCTTAATCCTAACGAATGCAAATTAGTTTCCTTCCACCGCCGCAAAAACCCACTCCAATTTTCCTATGAAATTGCTAACATGCCAGTCGAAACAGCCGTATCCTATAAGTATCTTGGTGTAACATTAACCCCTGATCTTTCCTGGCGAACGCATATCACTAACATGATTTCATCAGCCAACCGATCATTAGGATTTCTAAAACGTCACCTACGTCACTCACCGTACCACGTTCGTCTTGTGGCCTATCAGTCGCTAATCCGGTCCAAACTAGAATACGCATCACCCATCTGGAGCCCTCACCAAGTTTATCTGATCAACGCTATCGAAGCAGTTCAAAATCGTGCCGCTCGCTTCATTCATTCTTCTTATTCTTACGATGTCAGTGTTTCATCCCTTAAAAATGAATCCGGTCTATTAAGTCTTTCCCTTCGCCGAAGAATTGCTACGTTGTCACTGTACCACAAGTTGTATTACAGCTCACTCCACCAACCACCTTACATCGCTCCCGTCGCACGCATTTCTCCCCGCACTGGCCATCCACTTCAAGTCTTCCGACCCCGATCTGGCACCTCAACATTTTCTGCATCATTTCTCTGCCGCGCCGCCAAAGAATGGAATGACCTTCCCCACGATGTTGTTTCAATCACCTGTCCATCACGTTTTATTCAAAGTGTGTCAATGCATCTGCAATGTTAACCTGTGGCTTTTGTATCTTTGTTGTACAACCCACCCCTTATGTAACATCCCCCCTGTGGGGTCTTTAAGGAAATAAAGTGAAAGTGAAAGTGAAATACTCGTCAACTTAATCAAATGGGCCACGAGAGCACAAGGATCTACTGCAGTCAGTGAGATAGACAGAATGATAGATACTCTCTAAATGCCTTTATTTCGCCATAAATGATTCGCGTGTAATAATTAGTGCCTAATATATTTGTCAAAAACATCATATATGCAAGCCCTACCACCAAGAGAGATAAACTGAGCCAAATTACCACGTGTCTCGCTGGATGCGATCCCTCTTTGCATGCCAGAAAATGCCAAAAAAAGCGAACGTTTGAACCAATATTATGTCCATTCACAAAAGCAGCGTCTCCACCCATTTCCAGAGGAGCAAACCAAGGCAACCTAGTCGGCGCGCTCACCTCCTCGCGACTACATTCCTTTACTTCATTCTTGCCCCTTAATCGACACAGGAGCGCTTGACAAGTACCTACGATGAGTATTACGCCGGGAGCGACCACCCACCGGCCGTAACAGTACCACGCATCATATGGAACCACATGTCCCTTTTGTGACGCTGCCATAACTGCCGTGGACATGACATACTTGCTCTGTTCATTCCCAGGCCTGGAGTAAGCAAGCCTTCGTCATCTTAGAACCAGTCACCATCTCGGTCGCCCTCCGGACTTACAAAAGTGGATAAAAGGACCTTTCCACCGATCCTAGTTAAACTTTATGCATGAGTGTAACTTTTTTATGTGTGATGAACCTGCATCGTTTTTATTTATGCGTGTTACAACAAAGGGCAGTCTTTCGAATTAAAAAAAAGTGTTACGCACGGGTACCGATATCCTGCCAAGCTCCCTCACCCGCCTGCAGTGAGGGGACTTGGCGCGTCTGCCCATGTCTACCATTTATAAGTGGCAGGCATTTGACTGGTGGCAGCAGCCAGTATGGCATAAAAGGGCAAGTGGTTAACGTGTCAATCGACGTAGCCATACTGTGCAGTGCCGGCCGCAGAAGGTGCCCGACAACGCAGCCTTTGACGTACACATCAATCGCCAGCTCATTAACAGAAATGTCTCACCAAAAAACACCCCGTACACTTCTGAGCAAGCTCCTCTAACATCGTTCACTTTCTAGATACGCCGGTGATCTTTTCTCTGATGTGTGTCATTGTAAGGGCATGGACAGCTAGTAATTTAGCGTGTATATCAGAAAAAGGACGCACAAAGTTGATCATATTCTTGAAGCTTGGTGACGAATAGGTGTACAGAGGTTTCTGCGTCTGCGGATCCACGTCCACCATGTCCTCCACCTTAAGCAGCTTCCGCTTCCGGGTGTTACTCGTAGCGCTCACGGCTGCAGAAGAATAAAGCAATTTGTACAATTACGAAGCTCGCGGAGTAATAGTTTCATTGAAGGAGTCAGAACTTTCTCGAGCAGACTGGTCATATAGCCCCTTTTCGTGACTGTCTCAGCTTCGAGGCATACGTTACAATAGAATTGACAAATCCCACGTACAGTGAGATTCGATGATATGCGCAGCACGAATGAGCAAGGTTAATATGTCCCTTTAAAATCAGGACAACGTTACAAAGCAGACGTGAATTATACCGCACATGACTTTCATGCCATGATTATCATGATTAGAAGTGTCATTTATCTTCATTGTCTATTCAAGTCACTGGATACCTAATTGGGTATATGTGGAGCTAGCAAAGCGGCCGTGAGCACGCTATGAGTGCAGCATGTAGTCATGTTTTACATGACACACATTCCATGATTTTTATGTTTGGACGTGTCATTTACCTTCGTTGTCTATTTAAGTCACTGGATACTATAGTTGGTATATGAGGGGCTAGCGAAACAGCCACGAGCGCTATGAGCGTAGCATGTAATCATGTTTTACATGGCATGCATGTCATGATTATTATGTTTGGACGAGTCACTAATCTTCGTCATCCATTTTGGGACATTAAACCCCACGTATCAATCAATCAATCAATTCGTCGTCCATTCACTTCACGTAATACCAGATTTGGTATATGTGAAGATAGCGAAACGGCCGTGAATGCATTATGAGCACAAAATGTTGTAATGTAATGACATGACATCCGTATATAATTATCATGTTTGCACTAACCTTCGTCAGCCATTGATGTCACGTAACACCAAATTCGTTATATGTGAAGCTAGCGAAACGACATCGAGTACACTATAAGAGTATCATGTAGCCATGTTTTACATGATGCACATGTCATAATTATCAGGTTTGGACGTGTCATTTACTTTCGTCGTTCGTTCACGCCACTTAATACAAAATTTGGCGTGACATAATACCGAATTTTCTATATGTGAAGCTAGCAAAACGGCCTTGAGTGCATCTTGAGTGAGGCATGCAGTCATGTTCTTACATGACACACATATGATTATCATGTTTGCATGTACATTCCTCATCAATTCACGTCACGTAATACCTAATTTGGTATTTGTGACGCTGGCGAAACGACCGCGACAGTATCATGAGTGACACGCACGTCAGGATTTCCCTGTGAGGGCCTGTAACCTATGTTCGCCATACAGTCGTGTCATATACAAGTTTTGCAATATATCATGCGAACGAAACCACCCCAATACAGGCAAGACATTGATGTAAATCGTGATATTCATGACATACATGTCATGATTTTCATGTTATGACTAGTCACTTATGCTCATCAGACAGTCACGTTATGCCATACCAATTTTCGTATAAATACTATTATCGATCTGGCCAGGAGAGCTAAAAGTCGGAGCTAGCTAGATGCCCTGCCCTGCCCTGCCCTGCCCTACCCCGTCTTGTCTGTCTGTCTGTCTGTCTGTCTGTCTAGACAGATAGACAGACAGACAGATATACTCGGTGCTAACTTTTCTTGGCACTGAAGAGAAGGCTATAGAGCCAAATCACGTGCATCATACCGCCAGTGAAGTACAGCGGAACCCCGATTATACAACTTTTAGGGGACCGCGCAAAACCGTCGTATGACCCGGGCGTCGTATAGTCAAAAAACTAAGATTATAGACCTGGACACTTAGCCTTGCCCGAAAAACGGGTACAGACTGGCTGAATAAGCCCCCGGCATGACCTTCTGCCTCTGCAATGAGGGTAGATTAAATTATTGCCAGTGGTAGCTAAGGCAGCAATAATTACTTGCAGGAGGTCCAAGAAAACTTTTATTCTCAGCCTTAAGAACAATCAACTCCAATGCTCATCTTTCTACCAAGAAATGGAGTCCAAAAATTGCCTGGGCATGAAACCGAAATCATGTTGCTGTGAGCCTCCTATCAGAAGAGTCATACGCAGTGCTATCACTATCGCATAATGGTAATGGACGAGTTAATGTGGTTTATGTACGATGCGTTCGTGCGCTGACTGAGCTGTGCGCGCTGTAATTTATTGCCCTGTGAAGTGCAACTAGTGGTGTCCCGCTGTCGTTATGAATGTTGACGTCAAGTGAAAGTAATTTTGCACGGTGAAAGCAGCTGCGTCGTGCCCTTATGCATGCACAAACCAGTGACTGTGAGTGTGACAAAGGCAGGAGATCAGCCATATGTCGACCAGAAAATGTTTTCACGCATCGAAAATATAAAAATATCAGCTTTTCAGTCGAATGAACCTACTCTATGTGGATGGAGCTTGACAAGGTAACGACCCCGTATACATATGCACGCAATTAAGGCATATGTAGGAGTGCATGAACTTCCAGGAGAATATGTTTTTCATTCAATGAAAATGACTCTACTTTTTCTTTAGTCCTGCTTGGGGTACACAAGTTCATATTTTGCACTCGAGAATATTTGGTTGACATGTGACTTGCAGTAAACAGTGTTTTTTTTCTGTTCGATGGAATCTGAAAGTTGTCGTAAGGATGCGAGGTCGGCGTAAAACTGCATCGTATAACCAAGGTTTTTAATACATCAGTTTTTATGGGGATTTCACCAGGACCAAACTGATTGATCGTAACATACAGGTCGTTGTGAAACTAGGGGGACGTATAATCGAAGTTCCACTGTAGGTCCAAAGTAGCACCCATATTTTTAACATGAAATATAAGTGTTCCTTTTTTATTTTCAACGTGGAGCTATTTCAGACAGTACACAGCTCTCACCACTAAGATGGTCGTATTTACTTTATTCGTTGCGACTTCACACTTTTTTGTGCGAGAAAGTCTCGCCTTTTTGCGTGCACCTAATGGAATGTAAACGAACACGCTAATCGGTGTCTTCGTTTATATGAAATGCTGATGGTGTGCCATTATAACTTTTCACACATTACGAGACACGCGCCAATATGAACTACTTCGTGTAGTGCTACATGTGCAGAAGCTCCACCTCCGTAGCTTTCACTTCAGTGCCAAGAAAAGTTGTCGCCGAGTATAGATAGATAGATATACTGAAAATCGCCGAAGTTCACTAAGAAATGCTTGGCATATAAAATAAATGATGTGATTGTTAACACTATGTCGACCGTATTCAACGGTAAATCTTCATGAATAACATCCTAATACCATAACGAGTACAGCATCATCTGCTACAGCTTTCATCGAACCAACCACTTGCTCAAGCAGCCTGCTCACTGGTATACCAGTGCAGCTGTTAACCAAAATATTGCACCCCGCACCAAAAATATGTCATCATCATAAACAGGTATGCGGGACAAATTGGAAACTGGTCCAGTAAAAATGAAAAAGCCCTAACAACGAGTGGTTGCCAAGCGACAGCTGCAAGACCCCAAGTATGTACAGCGATATAGAAGAATGGGAAAAACAAAGGCGGCTGCTAGAAAACTTTGTGGAGATGACAGGCCTACGCGAACAACGACGCGCCGGTGTCGTGTTTGTGACTGTCTCTGGCTTGAAGAGACAATAAATTAAAATATTAAGTCGAGGTGGATTATAGAAGTAGCGGTTCAGAAACTATGTAGTGCTGCTTTTGCAGGAGAAGCCGACCCTTTTGAGGCAATGCCAACACACGGCCGTCCAAGTGTAATGACATCGGGTATCAACACTGTTATTCTCTCGTTGCTGCTTCTTCGATGCTGCTTGTCGAGATATGAGTCATCTCAGGTGATTCCGAAAAAAAATCCCTAGATAGGGGTTGTGTCGAGCCGACAGTTTCGACAAGCGAACTTGTCTTTCTCAAGGATAAACAGAACTGATTTAGAGGTGAGGAATAGTCTAATTTATTCCCTTTTACTTAAGTACCGACCACTTGCTTCCTCCTCTCCCAGTCTTTTTCCACATGCAGATGGTGTCGGCTGCCATTTCCTTCCTAAATTTGGAAATCTACAAATCCACGTATATTCAAGTATTTCAGCAATGCATCTTTAAGCGGACGCAACACGTCTTTCTCCTTGGTCACATGTCCTGTCGTTAAGGCCTGACCACATGTAGCCGTCGCAGCTAGTCGGCGCGTGTTCTTTTGACGTGGCGCCAAGACTTCTCCCACATAGAGAGAAAAAGAGCACACAGCTTCGCGTAGCCGTGCGCTCTCTATTTTCATGGGGAAAGGGCACGACGCCACATCAAACGTCCCCGCATCGCAACAGACACATGAGGTCAGGCTTTTAGTGAGTGTGAGAATCGTTTCACCAAGTGCTGGGAAAGTGTTAGGTAGAGCATGGCTGCCGAAAATGAGTGTTTGATGAGGTCCATTGATGGCACTTCAATGGTTGTCGGTACGTAAGAAAGAGAAAAATCTATAAATTTTAGTGAAGATGTACATGTGTCGCTCGAATAAAGAAAGCGGTGCATAATGTACATACTACACATTTTCAATTGAGATACTGTGATTCTTTAGCATGCGCTTTGAATTGGGCTATGCTATTTCTGACCAAAAATATAAGGAAGACTGCGCCGAGTAAGCTTTATAAAAACGAAAAAAAAAAAAGAGTTGAAATCGAAACTCACCTTCAGCTCCTTAAGCGCTAAAAATAAATCAGTACCAGATCATTTTTTTTTTTTCACCACGTGATAGCGGATATCGCATTTTGTGTTCACGGCTTTGGCTACTCTAGATCAAGCCACATGATGTGAACAACTGGCCGCAAATTCAACACGGCTTAAAGGCATCGGATCGCATAGGTGCAATTGCTAACTGCCCGTGCAGCTCGACAAAGCTCACGGCATTGACATGGACACATTCATCGAGAGCTAAGCTTGGATTATGATAGCTGAGAACATTGCAAGCAGAAGAAGCTGCAGCAGCTGTGAGTGAACAAGCCCCAACGTGTGTCTCGCTCAGTTTGCACAGACGGCTGCACAGGCTGCCGCTGTTCTACCGAAACAACGTTTAAAAAGAAGACGGTTTTTTTTTCAGTGCTTCGCATGCGTAACTAGAATGCGGTCCAGAATTTAATGTTCAGCGAACGAGCAAAATGACGGAGGAAAGAAGAAAAAATGAGTGTGAACGTTCTTGACGCGCACGGTTTTCCAACCGCTCTCGCATTTCTGCGTCGCTTCTCATGTGCGCGAATGCACCATAACCGAGAGACTACAGAAGGCAGCGCATCAGCTTGTTTCTCCGCAGCCGACACATGATCTGTCTACGCCCTCCTCAGTCCTCCACTCTCCTATTTCGCTTTGCCGGGTGCCATTCAACGCATGAATGGGTATTCGCTTACAGCGGAAACGAATGGCGTCACCACTGAAACCTATTGTGGCCCTACAAGTGCGAAAAAATAGGCGAGCAATTATTAAAGAGCTGTGCTTACTCAGTCGGTCCACCTTGCCCGCAGGGTCCTTCTTGCGGCTCATGCATTCGCCGATGGCGGGAATGTTGCAGAGTTCCGTGGTGCTGGACAGGCGCTTCCAGTTAAAATTTCTGAAGAAGTTGTGCCCCCTGATCTCGGTGTAAGTGTTGGAGCCCAGACGCTCAGCAGGATTCTTCTTGAGCAGCCTGAAGACCATGTCCTTGGCCTCGGGCGTGGCCGAGTGAGGGTGTTCCTCGGCCTTGGGCCACTTGAGTGGCTGGTTGATGATCTTGTCGGTCAGCTCTTCCCTGCTTTCGCCACGAAAGGGAACACGTCCAGTCATCATCTTGTACATGGTGGCCCCGGCCGACCACCAGTCGCAGGCACGCCCATAAGGCCGCCGCCGGAGGATCTCGGGCGCCATGTAGGGCACAGTGCCCGCCGATTCCCCGTCATGAAACTCGAATGCCGTCTTCGAGAAGTAGCCCTTGCAGACGCGCTTGGAGACTGCGAGAACACTCGTATCACTTGTGCCTACCGCTCGCTGAAGAAATGTGCGACAGCTGATGCCTGACATTTGCATATATGATACCGGGTCCCAACATGACAATGCACAGCAGAAATGCAGTAAGCCGGGCCAGTTGGTATAACTACCTCACAAAAACAGTGCAGAAACTAAAGCTCTGCAGCAAATATTCACATTTTCTGCAATATGAATTGCTGTTCCAGATAATATGTTTCCGCAGAATGCAACATGAACTTGTTGACTAGAACACCGATGCATTTCGTAGAACGGGTTGTGAAATGGTGCTTCTGCTGACCTCGCTTCGGTGGTTACAGTGCTCGTCCCCGAAGAATGTTTACTGCTTTACAAGGTGGTGACTTAACATGAATCCTTTAAAGTATCTTGCGATGTGCACACTGTATCTAAGCGCTAAGGTATCTTTAATGCAGCCCAGCACAGCCTAATGTGTTATTCACGTGAGTGTCGAAACCATGTGGCTTGCAGATGTGTTCTGTGAAGTATGCGTTAGATTGCTTGTTGAGTTGCTAATGCCAGCATTTTGAGCGCAGGCGCTTATCGAAAAGCAGTGTCCGAAAGTGCACATTTCATCAAGTGGTGTGTCACGGACGGCTATTTTCGGCGACACCGCGTCACGGCAATTAACGGGCGCCGTACTCCCCGACTGACCGTGAGAAACGGCGGCACATGAAAGGGAACCGATAAGTGCAAAATGGGGTGCTCTCCTTAGAACGTCGCCGCCGACGGTTAATCTTTTTGTAACTGTGGCGGCGTCTGCAAGGTCGTAGAAGGCCGCGGTATACCCCGTACAAGGATTAGACTACAAGACGCCCGGCTGAGAGCTAAGTGGTTGACCGTTCCCACGGAGAAAAGCGTGGGAAACGCTCTGGTGGCCAAGCCGTATGACAACAACCCGACAGGTTGTCACTCTCGCTAGTTGCGGGCCCTCTCCCTATTAAAAAGGGGTGGGGTCAAAATATTTTTGGGGCGGAGTTTCCCCTCAATTAAACGCGCATGATTGGACCCAGGTAGAGGTCTCTTGTCCCCAAGGAAGAGAGCGAGGAGACATGAGAGGGATTTAAGCGCAGGATTTTGCCTTGCTAGGCAGACTAGTCGCTGACCAAGATGGTGTAGAAACAGATCAACAAGCATCTCTTCTAGAAGTTTTTAGTGTGGCTCTGTATCGGCTGGCCACCTAACTTAGCCGTTCGTCTAGTTGTGACGCGATATTAACGTCTGCAACGTAGACATCGGGACTTCGCCTCGAGTTAGCTCAACCTGCTCGAAGTCACCTGCAAGCACTAGCCTCCCGGAGCCACCAGCGTTGCAACAACGCCGACATCACAGTCGTGCCAGAACTCTCTTCGACTTCTCGCATCCGATCGTCGGGGACACAACGCTGCCGGTCATCACACGTATGCCTTCACCTGTTTATATCTTCGAACTTTCTCATCCGTAGTTCTATTGTTGTTAGTTTGTGTAGCTTGTAATAGTTCTCTCTCGTAAGCTGATTTATTGTTTCTGTTATATATTTCTTTAATTGTATCAAGTGTCGATATATTTTGTTAGTTGTATTGAAGTGTCGTATTAGATCCCGTGTTGCTGCAATATCACTAGAGTAAAGTTTGTTTTGTTTTCCCACGTCTCTGATCTCTTCACTGTCTCTGCTTGCGTACGGAACGAACCAACCTGCTGTCATTCCCGTCGCCGACTTCGCGCTGGCGACGCTAGAGTGGCAGCTTGTAACAAAACTGGCGTCCGCGAGACAGGACGTTCCGTACAAAGAGTAAGACAGTGAGGGGTGAATGAGAACCGTGCGGACAGAGTGGTGATAGAGCCGCACAGTTGAAGCGGTTGCATCCTGCATATGATTGCGCTGTTTTTATAGTGGCATTATAGTGACAGTTGCAGTATGGAGTGTATGAATTTTGATAAGTGGATCGCGTACGGTAAACAGTTAGGCCTCGAGGGCGCCGAACTGAGACAATGGGTTATGGAGCAGCAGGAACAGGCGCAGGCGTTAGCCAGAGAAGAGCGGGCACTGGCCCGGGAGGAAAAAGAAAAGGAAAGAGAACGCAAAGAAAGGGCGAAAGAACGAGAAGCGGCAAGGGAAGCGGCAAGGAAAGCCGGAGAACGAGAAGTGCAGTTACTGCAATTAAAGAATCGCCTCAGTGAGGGTAGCAGGGTTAGCCGATCCAGCAGTGAGCACGGCGATGCCGGTGAGAAACTGTCATTTGAGCGAGACACATGGTGTCAAGGGCTACTCACGGTTCTGCCTTGCGAGGCAAATGAAGCTGTTGCGCGACTCAGTCAGCAGAATGCGAACAACGAGGTAGTTAAGGCAGAGATGTTCCGGATATCCGGAACTTCTGTCTGGACAAAAGGAGAGCAGCTCAGACAAGAGTCTGAAAGAGAGCGCGAAGCAGAAAGACAAGAGTCTGAAAGCAAGGCGCATCGGAAAGCGTTGGACATTGAGGCGCGTCATGAAACGCCAGAACCAGAAATCGCGCTAGAAAAGGGCCCGCATATTCTCGAATGCATCCATATAAATGATGTAGAGAACGAGGCCTTGGCCGGTCTCGAGGTAGAGACAGTATCAAAAAACGGTCCTAGCGAGGATGAGGTGTGTGCCAGCAGCCCTAATGGACTCAGTAAGAAGCTGGAAACCATCGTCATGTCTCGAGATCGTCACATGCAGATAGGGTTAGCACAGTGGCTAAACACAGCGATAACGCGACGCTTCAGGAGTGCAGCGATGCCATCGGAGAGGGCCCAGTTAATGGTTTCATCAGCATTAACAAAGATAATTTGGCCCGGCAGTCCGTCGTGACACCGAGTTCAAAATGTTTGAGCGTGGGGCAAAATGAGTTTTGTTACAAGCTGCCACTCTAGCGTCGCCAGCGCGAAGTCGGCGACGGGAATGACAGCAGGTTGGTTCGTTCCGTACGCAAGCAGAGACAGTGAAGAGATCAGAGACGTGGGAAAACAAAACAAACTTTACTCTAGTGATATTGCAGCAACACGGGATCTAATACGACACTTCAATACAACTAACAAAATATATCGACACTTGATACAATTAAAGAAATATATAACAGAAACAATAAATCAGCTTACGAGAGAGAACTATTACAAGCTACACAAACTAACAACAATAGAACTACGGATGAGAAAGTTCGAAGATATAAACAGGTGAAGGCATACGTGTGATGACCGGCAGCGTTGTGTCCCCGACGATCAGATGCGAGAAGTCGAAGAGAGTTCTGGCACGACTGTGATGTCGGCGTTGTTGCAACGCTGGTGGCTCCGGGAGGCTAGTGCTTGCAGGTGACTTCGAGCAGGTTGAGCTAACTCGAGGCGAAGTCCCGATGTCTACGTTGCAGACGTTAATATCGCGTCACAACTAGACGAACGGCTATGTTAGGTGGCCAGCCGATACAGAGCCACACTAAAAACTTCTAGAAGAGATGCTTGTTGATCTGTTTTTACACCATCTTGGTCAGCGACTAGTCTGCCTAGCAAGGCAAAATCCTGCGCTTAAATCCCTCTCATGTCTCCTCGCTCTCTTCCTTGGGGACAAGAGACCTCTACCTGGGTCCAATCATGCGCGTTTAATTGAGGGGAAACTCCGCCCCAAAAATATTTTGACCCCACCCCTTTTTAATAGGGAGAGGGCCCGCAACTAGCGAGAGTGACAACCTGTCGGGTTATTGTCATACGGCTTGGCCACCAGAGCGTTTCCCACGCTTTTCTCCGTGGGAACGGTCAACCACTTAGCTCTCAGCCGGGCGTCTTGTAGTCTAATCCTTGTACGGGGTATACCGCGGCCTTCTACGACCTTGCAGACGCCGCCACAGTTACAAAAAGATTAACCGTCGGCGGCGACGTTCTAAGGAGAGCACCCCATTTTGCACTTATCGGTTCCCTTTCATGTGCCGCCGTTTCTCACGGTCAGTCGGGGAGTACGGCGCCCGTTAATTGCCGTGACGCGGTGTCGCCGAAAATAGCCGTCCGTGACATGGTGACTGCGCAGCGATCTAGAGGACGCAACAAAGCTGAACTTAGTTGAAGTTCTATCTGTACTGTGCAATCATATAGTAATTCAGCTGTCACCAAAACTCCGTGATTGGAAACGCACTAGGCCAATAGAGCTGTAGCAAATTGAAGAAAAGACAGGAGCCCTGATTTCATAAAAAAATAAGAAATGCTTTATGAGTAGAACAGTACAACGTTGAGAACACAAGCAGTACCACATTTGCGTATCGTAGGTCATCAAATTTGTGACCACCAAGCTGGTGTCCTGACGTCGGGCGATAACGTCTTCACGGGACAGGAACCATTCAGAGTGATCTCTCAAACGAGGAACCATGCAGAGAGATTTTTCTAGCGTAAACTGATTTTCTTTCAGATTATAACATTTAGCTAAAGTGCCCTCATCAGCTTAAGCATGAGAAATAATAAATATGAGATTGGTTTTAAAGAGAGATACGGGGCACAATGCTTGAAAGATGATCAGACTTACAGTGGCCGATGCAAACCTTGTTGGTGTCGAAGTCAATGACTTTCACTCTACCACCAGGAATAATCAGCATGCTGTGGCGAGAAAAAAGGCAGATTGCTTATTTGCAGTAGCATCTACATCATTGTTGTAAACAATTCCTTTTGTGAGCACTTAAGTATATATTAACAAAAAACACCTAAAAAGCCTATTTAAGTAGAAAAAAAGATGAAATTTGTATAATTACTGTTTTCAGAATATTATCTGTCCACGGTAATATACCGATTCTCAATGATCTCCACGTACCTCATGCGAGCCGATTTGTCCGTGCGAACTTCTGAATTTCACTAAGATCACTGCCGTTCGTGGCTGCGTTTCCCACCCCTTGGCATCCACTTGGTTGCTTCATTTGTCTGCAGCGACACTTTGGCTCCTGTTTCTTATATGAACCAATCTTTTTGTGGTATCGATCTTTTGGGATATTCTCTGAATTACTACTAATAACATTTCGGCATTATTGTCTTTTCATTAATATGGTAAGAAAAATTAACCTGTACATTTTCCTTCATTTGCTACCTAAAGGTAACTCTACTGCATGGGAAGTAGACATGCTGCTCTAGAAGGCAGCTTCTCAAACATGCTACCTTTAGAGTGACAGCCTGCTAGAATGTGTTGTTGGTCTAGTTGGTTTGCTCCGAAGAAACGTGAAGGACGCAACCCCCATAGACGAAAAAAGGAAGAGGACAGGATGGAGTGCCCACTTGCTTGCAATTGACTTTATTAAAAAAAAAAACGGCTGCTTATTATAAACACACAGACACGTGAGCAGTTCAGGTACAGTTGCGCTGGACATTGGCGAACGATTCCACGTGAATGACACAACAATAGCATGAAATTAAAAAATATGTGCTTCTGCTTTACGTAAGGTGATAGACGTGTCACTGAGGCACACACCGCATTTAATATTGATAAAATACACCTCCAAAAGTTCACGTGCCACAGTGTTCTTGCTCCTTCAAGTATGCGAATATTTGTGAAGTCTGGACCACCCATGCAGAATTCACAGTGCACAAGTGAATGGGTAATGGTTTTATTTTTAATCGAAAGCTCGTGTTTCCTGGCCTTATCATTAACACAGCATCCAGTCAGGCCGATGCAAGTTTACATCAGCTTTTGTGAGGCACCAGATTGACACGTGCGAAGAACAACCACGGAAGTGCAATCCTCGCCCCGTCACTGTGGACAAGAGGCAACTGCAGCAAGTGGCAATTGACCAGGCAATGGATGAGTTGATTGAGACCAGAGTAGTCCAATGGGAGCTCACTGGTGGGAATGGTTCCCAAAAGAGAGGGCGGCTCCTATTGGCTCTGTCTGGACTACCACCAACTGAATGACATCACGAGGAAGGATGCCTATCCTATGCCGAACGTTGACTCGATGCTAACTGGTCTAGGCGGTGCGTGCTACTACTTCAGCACCTTGAACACAGGTCGCGGGTACCAGCAGGTTCAGATGAAACAGGCTGACGCAGAGAGATCTGCTTTCACTTCTCTCAGAGGTTTTCAATAATGCATTTCAAGAATGCATTAGAGATAGAGTCGGGACCAGTGGACTTCCTTAGGTCAAGGCTATTCAATAAATGTAATATTCTTTCTTCACTTATGAATAATTTTTCCATACGCTGCTCAACAGTATAGGCCGCCAGTGGCTCTTGTGAAGCAGTGTGTATGAAAACTGACTGGAAATAGTTAAGCTGATTCGCAATGTCTTTAGGTTCAGTCAAAGTTCTATTCCCAGTTTTGATTTGCGCAATGGTTGGTCTATCTTCTGACAAGTAGCGCCAAAATTTTTGAGGGTCATCCTTCATAAAACTTGGCAAAATTACACCGTAAAATCGTGATTTCGCTTCACGTACTTTATCACGCATAGTGCCAACGATACCAATGATTTCGTTTTTTTATCTCCCTTTGTGCAACGTCGAAGTTTCAATTTTCGCTGCAACTGTATTATCTCACGTGTTAGCCATGGGTAATCTTTGTTGACCCGTTCCTTTCTTTGGGGGATGAGGTTGTTTTCGCAAAGATATATTATTTCTTTAAAACGCGTCCACAATTCCGGAACACTGTTCAGGGCGCTAAATTCATCGAAGTTGCGTTCTAATATATCTGATATTTTGTCATCGTCTGCGCGTGCATAATCTTTTACGTAAAGGCATGGTCGTTTGGTAGATGAGCGAATAACTGTGATAAGGCAAGTCAGGACAAGCAACTTATGATCTGAAATACCTCCTTCTACGCTAATTGTGCCGTTTTGAAGCGTATTTCCACGAACATCAGGTCGAGAAGAGAGGATGACGCCCCAATTCTCGTATGTTCGGACAATAGTTGGTTCAGCGAAAAACTGAATGCAGTGAAAAGCAGCGATTCCACACTTCTAGCATCTCTGCTGTCGTAACACATTTCAGTCCAGTTTATCCCCGGCAGATTAAAATCCCCTGTTATTATTATGTTTGACCTTGAGTTTGTGTGATGCGAAAGATAGTCGTGAACAGCTTCCAGATACTGGGGCGCAGCATTGGGGAGGGGGGGCAGTATACGCCAGCAAGTAATATCGTCTTGCCAGAATAAAATAATTTGCACCATAAACTTTCGTCTTCGGGAATTCCATCAAGAACAGAAAACTTGATGTTGTTTTTAATGGCTATCACTACGCCACCACCTCTGGAAGTCCTGTCGTTACGGAGTAGTTTATATGATGCCGGAATTACTTCACAGTCTAACACACCAGCATGTAGCCAAGTTTCGGTAATTACCAGCACGTGCGGGTGATGACACAGAATTAAATTTTCGATTTCGCTGAGCTTGTTTACTATGCTGCGGGCATTGAAGGTCAAGATTCTCAAGTTTCTGGTCTTCCCTTGTCAATCGACCTTCTGAACGTCAGGTCTTGCCCTTGTAGCTACTTTCGGTCGAGAGTACCCTGCAGCAGCTTCTACTCTGGCGTTCTGTACGGGGTCCCAGACAAACATTTTGCCATCGACTTTTAGCTTGTCAAACACGAGGGACACCTTCGCTCCATGTGCTTTCTCGTCTGCGGGAGAGCAGCCACAACTGACTGCGCATGTCTCTCACTCTTTTCGAAAAATCCTGCGAAATCGATATTTCTGTGCCTTTTAATTTGGTACAGCAAGAGAGAATTTTAGACTTCTCAGAGAAATCAAAAAGTCGTAGAACAATCGGTCGTGGGCGTTTGCTACGAGGATTGCCTACTCTGTGGATCCTTTCAAAAGATTTTACGGCAATACCAAGTATATTAGTAAAAATAGTTCATTGAACCTTTTCTTTCAGTGATTTTGAATCTTCATCAGGCTCTTCAGTCATCCCAAATATTACGAGATTGTTACGATGACTTCTGTTTTCCAGATTCGTCAACCTTAGCTGTCAGTTCTAGTATTTTCTGAGTCATGCCTAGGCAGTTTTCTTCGTACTCTGCTAGTTTTTCCTTACATTGCTTTAGCTGGCCGATCTCATTTTCCATGACAGTAATTTTTTCCTCGATAGTAGGATACCACACCCTCAATTTGTCTCAAATTAGCTGTAAGTTCTTTAAGCATTTTGGTTGTTTTCGTTTGTTCTGTAAGGATTTTCTTCAACATAGCGTTGGTTGACGTGGATTCATACTCTGAGTCAGAAGTTGGCCCTGGGTTCTGTTCCACGTCCCCAGATGTTAGTAATAACAGTCTAATAACATAAGTTAGACTATTATTACTAACAATAGTATAAGTTACCCGCATGCCGTTCAGCTGTTCTGGAGCTGTGTTCCAAAGATTGATCGACCGCATTCTGAGGGTACGCTAAATGGCAATTCGCCATGGCCTACCACAATGAAATTGTCGTCACCTCTCGAAAGTTTGAAGAGCGGACATCACTTGAGAACGTCCTTGAGAGGTTGCATGCTGCCGGGTTGACTCTGAACCCGAACAAAGCTCAAATAACCGAGACTCACATCTCAATATTAGTAGGTTATACCATCTTGAATGCACATGCTCGCTCGTGCGAGGAGAAGTTATAAGTCATTGAGTAGTGCCTGACGCCGGTGAATGTTCAGGGCCTGGGGTGCTTTTTCCGGCATGGTGAACTAGCCTAACGACAGTTGCAAATAAATTGTGCAGAAACCTGCAAGATGGCGAGTGGTTGTCTTCTTTCCATTTCTTTACTACAGACAGTTCATCTCAAATGGTGCAGGACCTCGAGCGCCCTCGATCAAACTGTTGAAAAAGTCGGAACAATGAAGCTGGGATCTGAAGTGAGTGAGCAAGTAAGGCGCTATTCGAAGCTCTAGTGGCCAGAGCTGATCTAAAGCTGCCTGACCTGAACAGGGACTTTGTTGTCCAAGCAGACGCGAGAGACCTGGGTCTCAAGGTGGTGCTGCTTCAAGAGCACGACGGCGTCATCCGGTCAGTCGCCTTTGTGAGCCGGTCATAGAACACCGCTCAGCGCAACAACAGCGTGACTGAAAGGGAACATCTCGCAAGTTTTTTTCTCTCAGTCAATCAAACTGTTTGCATTTCTTATAAAAAATGGGCCATCAATTGTGGGGAAGTTTAGTTTTTCTTACAGTGATAATGCCACAATATTATGCCGTGTTCTCATCTCTGTCACAATTACCCGCAAGGGGGCAATAGACCTTGTTTGTCTCGGCTGTGAAAACATATCCAGGCCAAGCTTCTTGCACTAATCAACTGCTTTTGCTAGTGTTTCTAAACCCACGGTGGTGCAAAACTTTTTTTGCCAGGGATTTGACCAGACAAAAAGAGATGGCGTCCTTGGCTCTATAAAGACACAATGAACAGCAGCGGTTGCTTTCTCAATAAATAAAGTGTTAGGCAAAACGGCAAAACCTCCCTCTTTATCAGAAGGTAATTGTGGTGTTCGGAATTTCATGTCCTACATTAAATAATACTATTCTCGGAGTCATGGACCTCCGATTAGTTTTCGTTTCGCGGGATGTGTTGCATAGCACCACACAATGGCTATATTGTGTAACCATTGCTACAGGCTGATGCACTCTCTGAAATAAAGAGTCCCCTCCTCAT